TTGTTGTAATTTACAGTTAATGTATAGTTGGCCACTGGCCCGTAGAAAAATAATGGAGGGAATGTTATGGTAGGTCCTAAAAATAATGGAGGGTTTTTCTTTCCTAAAAGAACAGGCCAAGATGGAGAGAGAGGAAAGAAAAACCCCTCCATTATTTTGTGAAGGACCACATTGTGAAGCATAGTTATTTCAAGGAAAAACTACAGTAACCCCCCAATCTATAAGGTTACTTATGAGTTCATATCCGATTTTGGGGACATTTACGAGTACATACTCAAAGTCGCGGAAAACCTACAATTTGCCCCCACCGTTAGCCAAAATGTTAGTGAATCTGTTAAATGCTGACATGCTGAATATGGGTTCCATTTTTTTAATGAGGTGGACTTACAGGTGGACAAATAAATATTAAAAAAAATTATAAACAAGTAAATAATATTATTCAATTAAATTAAAAATCAAAAATCAAAAGAAGACAATTTCTCTTCGTCTCTTTCTCTTCCTAGCCCCGCCCCGCCCCACACCGCCTTCAAATACATCGCCACTGACCTCACTGTCGTTGGATAGAACCAAGGGCAAGATCTCTATCCTCATCAACTGCCTCTTCCTCTTGCTTCCCTCGGAGACCTCTCTCTCCGTTGCTGCGCACACAAACAGCGCATCTGAGGGATTCAAAGGAGATGAAATTGCACTTTCTGGATATGAGTTTGATGAATTCGAAGGAGATCAAATTGACCCATGGTTCAATTTTGCTTTTTTACCTTTTTCCCTTTTCTTACTGAAAATTCTGAGGGATTCAAAGGAGATGAGATAGACCCAGATCCTGATTTGAAATCGGAACCCATTTTATCATTTGGGCTTTGTTTGGAAGGTGAGAAAATCGCAGAGTCTTCATCCCTCACACCACCATCTTGCTAAAATATGAATATTTGGTTTGAATGTATTAGGTTCTTATTTTTATTCTTCTCCATAAGGAGGTATATATAAGAGTTTACATGAGTGCTTTACAAGGAATTAGATCCAGTAAAGGATTAGGAAAGTATCTCCTAATTATACAATGATTTGATAACTATATAAAATAGGAAAGTAAATCATTTAATTAACCAAAGGAAATAAATCTATAAAATAGGAAAGTAAATCCCCTAATTAATCAAGAAAATAAATCTCCTTGATTAATTAGGAGACTCACTTCAATACTCCTCCTCAAGTTGGTGCATATACGTCACAAATGCCCAACTTGGTAAGTGAGTCAAGAAAGACGTAGCACCCAAGTCGATAATCCATGCAATTCAGGCAGAGTCTTTGGCGACCGGTCGTTTGCTTTGGGCGACCGGTCTCTTGCTTAGGGCGACTGGTCGTTTTGAATCTGCAATAAGAGAAGTAAAAATTGATATGAGAATGTGAGGGATTTTGATTT